CAAACTAACCCAGCTGGATCTGCACCCTCCAGGAGATCTACCTGCTCTGTAGATTTTACGACCCCTGCTTGTGCCTGTACCTCCCAGCTGCGATAAGATGATAACTTTGCTTTTTGAGTTCCTTAGGAATGTGATGACCCGCGAACAGCGAATCTATGCTGATAGCCATCATCAGTGAAAACTGAAAGACCTGGTGTGGCACTCCCAGTCTGTAACACCAGAGAGTCAACATTCCTAACCCCCCCAATAACCTAATGGCCTATATAACTGCTGTAAGATTTCGTGCCCCCTTAAGCTGGTTCTTTTGGACATGAGTCGGCCATCTTCCCTCTTGCTAGCAACCTGTAATAAAAAAGCCCTTTCTCTCCTACCAGCTTGCCTCTTGACTATTGGCATGTCTTGCAGCGAGCAGAAGGCCCCACATTGGGTGGTAATAGTTGCTATACCATTTTGCATTCCCACCAGCAATGTTTGAGATTTCAAGTTGCTCTGCCTTCCTGTCAGCATTTATGGTTGTCCATCTTTTAGATTTTAGCTATTCTAGTGGGTGTGTAGTGCTATCTCAATGACATTTTAATTTTTGTTCCTCTAGTAGATAAAGATGTTGTTTGTATTTTGATGTACTAATTGGCCATCCATAAATAGATTTCTTTATTGAAGAATCTGTTATAATCTTTATGTCCATTTTTAATTATTTTGTATTATTATTGAGTTGTAAGAGGTCCTTAAATATTCTGGTTAAGAGTCCTTTATTGATAACGGTTTGCAAGTATTTTCTCCACTCTACGGTTTGCCTTTTTATCTTTGTAACAGCATCTTTTAAAGTACAGACATTATTAATTGTAATGAAGTCAAATTTATCCATTTTTTAAATTGTGCTTTTTGTGTCTTATCTGAAAAGTCCATGCCTAACTCCAGGTCACACAGATTTTTCTCCTATATATTCTTCTAGAAGTTTTGTAGTTTTAGTCCTTATACTTAGTTCTCTGATCCATTTCAAGTTGGTTTAAATTTTTGTACAGGAAAGGGTCAAGATTCATGTTTTTCATATGGATATCCATTTGTTCTAGCATCATTTGTTGAAAGGAATATCCTTTCCCCAATGAGTGACCAGATACCTTTGTTGAAAATCAATTGACCATATATGTCAATACGGATCTATTTCTGGTCTCTCCTTTTATTGAAGTTTTAATTTGGAAATAATTTCAAATATATGGAAAAGCTGCAAGAATAACTCAAATAACATCCATATACCTTTTAATTTATTGTAAAATTTTATTTATTGTAAAAATATTGCTCCATTTGCACTCTCTCTCCATATATATATTTCCTTTTACAACTATACATATATATATATAAAAAACTATCTTTTTCTGAACCCTTTGAAAGTAAGTTGGTTGAATATATTATGGTCCTTTGCCCCTAAATACTTCATTGTCTATTCCTAAGAATAAGGATATTATCTTACATAACCACTGAAAAGAAACCCCAGGGATAATAGCTGTTTTCTGCAACTGCTACATAGTGTTTTCTTTTTTGCCTTTTCAGTTACCTAGTTTAAAACTTTACACCTAGTTATCAATTCTTTACACTAAACTTTGTTAAATACTTAAATTTATTTAAAAAATTCTCTCACACTGAAATGGAAAAACAGTATAACTTGCTATAAATGGAAAGTTATTATAATAATAGAATGAAAAACTTTAAAAGTTACTAAATTTAAGCTAGATGCTGACATCTCATCAAATAGCTGAGCTTCCCCTCTGTTGTAAAAGGAGATTAGCCGAGCGCTAACCAGGTACACCCGCACGGACCTGTGATATATATAATGTGTCTGTGTATATCCAGGGTTACAAATGCAAACCTTTGGGGAACACTTATAGCAGAAACATCTGTAGGCAGAAACAACTGCTGGTGAATAAATACTCTCAATATATTCTGAACAATGTAAAATATGTAAAGCTTCCTTTTGACAACTTCACGTCTTTGAAGATATACTATGAAAATATTCTCCAAGGACACAATGTCTGCCAATGTTCTTAGCAGTATTGATTGTAATAGTGAAAAATTGGGGACAGCATAATGTTTTTCAATACAAAAACAGATAAATGAATTACGCAAAATTTATAATATGGCACTCTGTGTTCGGTTAAAAAGCATGAGACAGATCTGTGTGTATTCACAGGGAAGGGTACCAATACTAGATTATTTAGTGAAAAAAGAAAATCTCAGCGAAAAAGTAAATAACGATGCCACTACTCTAGGAGAAAAAAAATGTTTTTCTGTATGTGTTTTATTATGCATGCACCTAAAAATAAGACTGAGCAGATATTACCAAATCAAGAGTAGTTACTTCTGCAGAGTTCAATGGAGGTGAAATTTCACTTAAAACTTCACACATCTCTTTATTAGTTGAACTTGTTTTTGATAAATGTGCTACTTTTATAATTTGAAAAATTAAATGACCATTATTCAAAACAATTAAAACGTCCATCCAACAAAGAGTTCATATAATGATTTACAGAAAGCACCAGTTTATAAATGCTGTCTTTTATTTATTCTTAGAAATTTCCCCTCTTATTTGCCTTAAACGAAACCGTTAAGATAACATTTCAATTGATTTGGATGTATGCATTGAAATCAGTCTACTTGAAAGGATGGTGTCCTGCTGTGCAAGCACAGCGGTACAAACATAAATCATCAAGTAAAAGATATTGCCTGTGAGGAAGAACTCATAATCCTGGAATGGGAAGTGAAAGCTGCCCTGAAAGCACTGGCAAGAAATAAGTCTCCAGGGGAGACAGGATAGCGATAGACTTATTTCAAGCCACAGAGACTGAATCTGTCAAAATCCTAACAAGAATATGCCAACAAATATGGGAAACAAAACAGTGGCCTACAGACTGGAAACAATCAATACACATCCCAATCCCCAAGAAAGGAGATGCCAAGGAGTGCACTAACTATAGGACCATTGCTCTAATTTCCCATGCAAGTAAAGTGGTGCAACAAACGTCTTTACCTCATATGGAGCAAGAAATGCCTGATATCCAAGCTGGATTTCGAAAAGGGAGAGGCACAGGAGATCTAATTGTGATTATTCATTGGCTACTGGAGTGCTCCAAAGAATTTCAGAAAGTTAGTCTGTTGTATAGATGACAGTAAAGCCTTTGACTGTGTGGATCATGAAAAGCTATGGGCTGCTCTGAAAGAAATGGGCCCTCGGCACTTGATTGTCCTGATGTATAACCTGTATTGTGGACGAGAAGCCACTGTCAGGACAGAATATGGAGAGACAGAATGGTTTCCTATAGGCAAAGGTGTCAGACAGGGTGCATTTTATCTTCCTATTTGTTTAATCTGCAAGCAGAACGTATCATATGAAAAGCTGGGCTAGACTCAGACAAAGGAGGAGCGAAAATTGGCAGAAGAAACAGCAACAATCTAAGATACGCAGATGCCACCATCTTACTGGCAGAAAGCAGCAATGACTCGAAACGACTTCTGACAAAAGTGAAAGAAGGAAGCGCCAAAGCAGGACTGCATTTGAACATCAAGAAGACAAACATCTTGACTACAGAAGAACCACGCAACTTTAATGTAGACGATGAAGACACTGAAACTGTTAAAGATTGTGTGTACCTTGGTTCAGTCATCAATTTAAATGGAGACAGCAGCCAAGAAATCAAGGCTGAGACTTGGAAGGGCAGCAATGAAAGAATTAGGAAAGATCGTCAAGTGTCAGGAAGTGTCATTAGAGGCAAGATTATCCACCCTCATATTCCTAATTACTATGTATGGGTGCAAAACTGGACGGTGAAGAAGGCTGACAGGGAAAAATGGATTCATCTGCCATACGGTGTTGGAGGAGAGCTCTATAGATACCCTGGGCTGCCTGAAAGATGAACAAGTGGGTCCTAGAGGAAATTACACCTGAACTCTCTCTGGAGGCAAAAATGGTAAAACTGAGGCTGTCCTATTTTGGGCACATCATGAGAAAGCAGGATTCTCTGGAAAAGCTAATAATGCTGGGGAAAGTAGAAGGCAGCAGGAAAAGAGGAAGACCAAACATGAGATGGATTGACTCCACAGAGGAAGCCATAGGCATGAGTCTACAGGAGCTGAGTTAGGCTGTTGAGGACAGGACATGGTGGACACCACTCATTCACAGGGTTCCCAGGGGTCGGAGCCAACTTGCCGGCACATAACAACAAACAGCAACCAGAGGTCAGTGATCTGACTGATCCTTTACTGAAATCATACCCGGAGTCTCCTAACAGCCTGTATGTATGTGGTATTGTTATGGTTCAAAGCAGGAACCTGCAACCATAGTCTTCTTGCTTAGCTAAGAAAACTGTCTAAGGAAATAGGCTAAGAGCCTGGAACTCAGACAGGGTCAGATACTAAGCCTGTCAATTACTTGAGGCAAAAGATTAAAAAAAAAAAAAAAAGGAATTGAGGTTATACAATAATTGTCATCACAGCTCTCTGAGATCAACACATACACACCAACACCCATATACAACCTTTCTGCTATCTTCTAAACTCCTGGACTCAGAAAAAACAAAACAAAACTAGCACATATTAAGCACTAAGATATTGCTAGCCCCTATGCCAAAAGCTATACATCTCATTTAACTATCAGATAAGCTCATAAGGAGTACTGCTATTCCCTTTTTACAGATGAGCCTCACAGATTTTAAGTAACTTGACCAAGTTTATACAGCTCCTAAGAGGAAGAACTTGGATTTGAACCCACCTGCGTAAATACCAAGGCCAACCTCTGAACCACCGGGCTATCTCCACACAGTGGTTTAGAGCGTTCTGGCAACAGCATTCTGCTCACAAATGAACGACTAAATGATAGTGTACATATCAAACTGGGAAGGTGTAAAATGTAGTGGGTGAAAATAGAGGTAAAAAGAATCAATATGATGCCAGTGTAAATAAAAATAACATCATCAAGTTTTAATCAGTTTGATCATGTGTAAGAAACTTACCTAACCAAATCTAAAGGCTGCTCCTTGTAAAAGTAGGAAAATCGAGCCCAGTTCTGGCGAAGTGTATACCTTTCATTGACAGGGTTAGGAGGTTCTGACGGCTTCCAGTATTGACCCTAGAGATATTCAAGAAGAAAGGACTTGAACGACAGAGCAAAAGACAAGGGGGAAGTAAATGAATACTGTTTTCATAAGAAGGTTAGTAAATGAAGCAAATGTTCCCTTTTACTTCTAGATTTGGATTTTCATATTCCGTTGGTGTGGAATTTTTTACTAACATCTGCAATGAACTATAGAACTGTGATTTATTTACTAAATTCTGGCACCCAGTTATTTAAAAATACAAGTTAAAGTTTGAGACCTTGCCTTTACTCAAGCTCTTCCTTTCACCTGAATGCCCTTTCTTCTCTACTCAAATTCTAATATAATAGTCATGGCTCCGGGATTCATATAACTATGCAACTGGCTAAGACTTTAGAAACAGGCTAACACTTTCATTTTACAGATGGAAAAATTAAACCCCAAGCAAAGTTAAGTGAGTGATCCAAAGTCACAGAGCTATGACAGGAATCTCCTATAGGGAGCACATCTTGTCCTCACTTGCCACCACTGACACACATTTCCCAAAGAACTTAAAATATATACAACAAACTTCAGCACTTGAGAGCCTCAGTACAGTTTTACGCCCAAGTTCTTTCCCTATTGTAGGTACCGCGGAGCTATATTCACATCCTTTTAGGGCCCTGCAGAGTACCGTCTACACACAGCTGTTCAATACATTCTTTTTAACCGTTTACCTACACAAGTGAACTGCTGAAAAGACATTGAATAAATATCCAATTTAAAATTAAGCACACGTGACAATCTCTATATGATAAGGTATAAGATTTTATATCATCCAGGTTCCAACTTTTTTCTTCTGCTGCAGCTAATCCTACTGAATCTTGAAAAATGAAATAGAAAAAAAGAAAAGAGCAGCCTATTTGGGAATGTTGAAAAATTATTCTTTAAAGCACATAAGGGAAAACCAGTACCTAAACTTGCATTCAGGAGAGAAGAAAGAAAAAAAGCAAAATTAACAGTAAGTTATAGTAAGTTATAGTTATCTCTAATAATAGCTCAATAACACTGATTTTCTGGTGAGCACGAAGGACTCTAATGGAAGTCTAGATGCATGGATTAACTTTGCTGGTGACTGAGGATATTAGTTGGGCTTTATGACCTGGTAATAGTAAGAGGAGAATTAACGCCCTAAAAACGAACAAACAAACAAAAAAATCCTCAAAATCTTCAAAAAAGGAATGAGCCCTTTTGTGAAGAAAGACTGATAAAGAACACATTGCAAAGTGTTTATCAACCCACTGTAGATCTCTCTTCTTTACCAAACGCCTGTGGCATTATTTAGAATCCATAATCCTCTAGAAATTCTTTTGCCTCAGGGAAAAAACTTGGGGGGGGGTGCTTGGGGGTGCTTGGGAAGCGGAGGATGGTTTCTCTGACACTTAAGTTAAATTCACCTGAATTGATATTCCTGTACTATTTTGGAAAATTCTGCTGGACCGTTATAGGAATCATATCAAAGATAATCAACTAACCAGTGTTGAACAGACCTAGAGTCCATTCTCATCCTGTTGAAAAAATACTGACAGAGTAAACCTGGCACAATAGTTTAAGTCCTGGAAAAGAGCGAGTTTGGCTCTGGGCTTTTGGAAAGGATTACAGCAACATTCCCTTCAAAACCTGGGCAATGATTTGATGTTCCTTGTTTAAATGGAGATACTTGGTTCTTCTACATTCCCAAGGAATGTGTTTCTCGAAAAGAGAGCACATCATCAAAAAGTCTTTTAAGTATGACAGAGTAAAACAGGAACAAAACAAATGGAAGTTCCAAGGGATGAACTCTAAGTAGCTTACATACTAGACCTCATGCAGCCACATGAGGTCTACTGCCAACAGGGGTGAAATTTAAACGGAAAGGTTTCCCTCAGAAACTAGGCTATCTTGGTTGTCAAGCCAAGTTTTCACATTTGGTTGAATAGGTGCATCATATAAAACGTCACTTCTTTGTTGAACTTATAAAGCTCGATATTTTTGTATAAAGAATCATTGTACAAAGAATTTTGTACAGAATTTTCTGAATTTCACTTGTCTGAATCTTTCTTATGGGCTGAAGACTTTAGCTTGTTCTGCAGTTGTACATATGCTTTATTTCCCAAAAATTCCTAGTCTGTGAGCTTGGATTCATGATTGTGTTCCAATAATACTTAACAGAATGCTTTACATGTAATTAAAACCAAATCTGTATTTGATGAATGCATATATGAATGCATGTAATTTAAGTCCTTTATGGCTTCAAAAGTGTATAAATGAGAAAAGATCTGACGGATTCAGATAGAAATTTCCAAATATTATGTTCTAAAATGTGCTTTTAATGTGACTACTATTTTCAATATGGGTTCTAAAGAAAAGTTATGTGCAAATGTAATAAATTTTTTAATGAATTTCCATTGAAACCCCAATGTGACGAGGCATTAACTATGTGTTTCAGCATAGCTGGTAAAGTTCTCAGCTTGGAACAAGGAGTCTTTGGGGATTTTCCCAACATGAAAGAGAATTAAGCAACCTGTCATGAAAAAGGAAGGAAATAGAAAATTCTCTCTCCCAACAAGTCAACGCCTGAATGTGGAAGAGGGAAAATGAATGGGCTCAGTATTTCAAAACCAAGCGTATACTTACATCATGGAGTGGATAGGCAGATGAATAAGTGTGAGAAGTTAGCAGTCTTTCAATCCCAAACCTTTTCTTCCCTTCTTCTATGCCAAAAGGACACCGTGAGAGAATATAATATACCTACAAGGTAAGCATGAAGAGACATACATTTCAGAACTTTATGCTTTCCATATTTTTTTCCAATCACAACTTAACAACGCCTACTTGGTCTGAATGTAGATATGGGCTCTGACTACAGAAGGAACCTTCCCTTTGATGTTTGGGAGAAGATGTAGAGGGTAGGGTCGCGTAGTTTGAAGGTATTTTAGCTCCTGGGTATGGGAGCGCCCTCTTCCTTGGGGAGAGGGGGGAATGGATCATAACTTATCTTGCTTGTCCTGTCCCAAGCTCCTCTGCGAGTACCTTGTGCCAGAATTTCTAATATTATCAGGGCTTCACCTTGGAGTCTAGTATCACCGCTACTAATAGTTCGGGTAGGGGAATATGGAGTACAATTGATACTTGGCCAAGCTGTTTTGAACACTTATTCAGTTAATTACTCTGATGATTTATACAGGGGCTTTTGGTGATATCTGAGTTTATTAACTCAACATTATCTCTACACCTACTTTGCAATCACTTATAGCTTTATATCCATTTTCTCCTCCATGTAATTTGGGCTTTGGTGTCCACTGCTCTTGGATTTCTGTCAATTCAATCTTCTCCGCCTTTTGGCTTCCAGCAACTTTTCAGAATTTCTGCTTTTCTGATTTCTGAATTTGGCCTTTTTAGCACTGTTTTAAATATATTTCCCTTTCCCCCCTTTTGTTACATTTCATCATTTAAGAAACTGTTGATTGGAATGGTTGTTGTCCTTGAATCATCACTATCTAATCTGGTTACTCATTTTAAGGGCAACTTAATATTCCATCTTGGTAAATAGATCATAATTTATGCAAGGCAGTTTTAATTTTTATAAACAAAGTGTTAAATATTAACTATTCTAAATACTTTGGATTATTTCCTTAGGAGAGATTCACCAAAATAAGAACTCTGTCTTGGGATGTTGACAAAGTGGAAAATTTTACTCTACCAGATATTAAGACTTATGATAAAGCTACGGTAAAAAATACAGCATGGTATTGTCAAATAAAAACAAATCTATACTTAGGAAAGACATTACTTGAAAAGATTATTGCAAGAGGGTGAGGGGGACTATTGCAACAGGGAGATCTGTGAACGTCTGAAAAGTCAGGCAGAAAAGGGTCTTTCTTTTATAGGGATAAGTAAGCCACATTCAGGAGTGTCTTTCTTTTTTTTTGAGGAAGATCAGCCCTGAGCTAACATCTGATGCCAATCCTCTTCTTCTTTTTTTTTTTTTTTTTGCTGAGGAAGGCTGGCCCTGAGCTACCATCTGTGCCCATCTTCCTCCACTTTATACGGGACACTGCCACAGCATGGGTTGACAAGCAGTGCCTCGGTGACGCCCGGGATCTGAACCCTGGCCCGCCGCAGCGGAGCGTGAGCACTTAACCGCTATGTCACCAGGCCGGCCCCAGGAGTGTCTTTCTTTGTGTTAAGGAAGGACTATTCCACATGCCAATGTTGGCTGAGGTTGAGGGTGCATCAAAGCTTAGGGTCCTGTGTGCAAGAAAGAAGTTTAATTAAAGTTTGGTGAATCCAGCTAACAAGTACTTTGTCTTGATGGATCAACGGGGATAAACAGTTTAACTAAGCACTTATGAAACAAAAAACAGGAACATGGAGGGCCTACGTCTGGCCTTTATTACTATAAGGTGGTAACAAATGGGAGAGACTGTAAGAGTAAGAATAGGCCTAAAAGAACTGAAATTGCCCTCGTGCCTAAAGGGAAAGACTTCCTCCACCTCCCTTTCTTGAGAGCATTTCCTTTAGAGAACTTATAAATTCTTTCTCTATCGTTTGAGATGCACATAAATCTTTGTAAAAGCTAAATAAGCCTCTTGCCAGTTTCACAACCCAGAAGTGTTTTTCTGAAGTTTTCTGGGAGCCGTCTCTCTCAACTGTAGATTGAAGAAGGAGAGGAGCCCCGCCTCCCTCTCTCTGTGGGAGTGGAGCCTGGGCACCAGCGCCAGGTTGTGACGACCTGCTTGACATAGAGGTATGAGAAGCTTTATGTTTTCCTTGGATAAAGACAACTAACACTGATGGACACTTCAACTACCAAGTGAATTTAGGATGAACTATGTGGCAAATGGTATTGTCAAGTCAAACTGTGGGGGTTATCTATGAATATTCTTTAAGTCATTTGGGGAAGGGTGGCTCCTCACAGTAAGCAGTTTCCCAGAACAAGAAGAGTGGGGCATTTCTTTAACTGGCCCTGTTTTCCAGGACTAGAGCTCAGGTAAAGTTCAACATTGATACAAAAATAGATAAAAAGATCAAAGCAACAGACTCAAGTCCAGAAGTAGACCTATGAATACCTAGATTCTGCAGTTATAACCAAGGTGGAACTGTAAGAGAGTATGAAAAGGTGAATATTTTCAATAATTGGTACAAGTCGAATAACTATAAACATGGGGGAAAAAAGTGGCCTCGATCTCACACCATGCATAAAAATTAATTCCAAGTGGACAGTAGTTCTCAATGGGAAAAGTAAAATAATACAACTTCTAGAAGATAATTTAGGAAATTAATTTCATAATCTTGGTGGTAGTTAAAGATTAAGAGCATTATTCCTAAAGTAAAGGCTTGAGAAAGTGGACTACACTAAAATTAAAAACATTGGTTTATCAAAAGAAACCATTAAAAGAAAGAAAGAGAAGCACAAAGTAGGAAAATATCAGTAAAATATATAATGAATAAAGGGCTCATATAAAGAATATATAAAAGGTTCCTAAGAATCAACAAGTAAAGAGAAGACCGAATTGCAAAACAGACAAGAGATTTTAGCAGGGACTTCACAAAAGTGCGTATCTAAATGCCCAATAAACATATACAAAGAGATCAATCTCATTTGTATCAGACAAATGCAAATTAAAACCATGACACACATACACAAATAAATTTCCATACAAAGTAACAAAAATGGATGAACAAAAACTCATATAAGAGCTAAATTAATCACCCAAATAAATGTTGAGACAAAGAAGCCAGACTCAAGAGAACACGTACTGGGCCGGCCCTGTGGCTTGGTGGTTAAGTGCGCGCGCTGCAATGCTGGTGGCCCGGGTTCGGATCCCGGGTGCGCATCGAGGCACCACTTCTCCGTCCATCCTGAGGCCGAGTCCCACATACAGCAACTAGAAGGATGTGCAGCTATGACATACAACTATCTACTGGGGCTTTGGGGGGAAAAAATAAAAATAAATAAAATCTTTAAAAGAGAACACGTACTATATGATTCCACTTTTATAAAGTTTAAAAAACAGGCTAAACTTGTCTCTGCAGTTAGAAGTTAGCGTCAACTTCTGCTGAGAAGGACAGAAACAGTGATTGGGAGGAGGCACTAGGGCTTCTAGGGGATAGGAAGGTTTTCCCTTCTGATCTGGGTGATGGTTACATGGCCAAGTTAATTTTGTAATAATTCAGTGAGTTGTACTTATGACTTTTGGGCCTATCTCTATTTATGTTTTGCTACAATTTAAAAAGAAAGAAAAAGAAAGATGGGTAATTTCCAGTATTGAGAAAGATATGTGGGAAACTGAGCACTCTCATGTTGTTACTAGAACTCTAAAATAGTATATCTTTTTGTAAAAGGTGGTAGTGTAATACATAGAAAATTTTAAATATGCATGCCCTTAGATCCAGAGGTTTTACATGTGGTATCCATTTTGCAGAAAAATTTACATAAATGCTGAAATATGTAACTACCAGGTTGTAAACTGCAGAATTGTTCATAATATCAGAAAAGTTGGAAGCAAACTCAATAGCTGTCAGAAGTGGAAATGTTTAATAAAACTATGTTATAACTATGTATTAGATATTACAAAATATATATCATGAGGCACAGATGTCATGATGGTTGTGAAGATGCTTTGAAAAGCATAAAATTCTATACCAATGTAAGACGCTCTTGTGATAACTGTTCAATTTGCACATACGTGGACTACAGTGTTCTGGATGAGAATAGGAAGAAGAGACTTTTCTACATTAATCTCCCAAATAACTTGTTCAGCAGAGCAAGAATAGTATTGCTTTACTACGAAGGAGGGAAAACTGTTGTGTTTTAATGCTGAATTAACCTAAGGTATCGGCCCTCTTTACAAAGAACAAATAAAGATAAATGAATACTGACATTTCTACACCTGACCCAGTTCCTCATTTGTTCCCACAGGGTCACTGGCCTTTTGTTAACAACTTCCTAACTTAACAAGCATATCTGAAGTACTTCACAGTTTGCAGAGTGCTTCCTCTTTCATTTGATTCTCCCAATAATGCCGGTATTCATTATTATCTCTGTTTTAGGAGAGGTTATCTTATTTAGAAGGTAGCAAAGTTATGACTGGAAACCAGGTCTTCTGATTCCATGTCATGTGCTCTTTATTCCCTTAAAAACTGCCTCCTAGGTTTGTTGTTGTTGTTTTTTAATCCTGGTAAGAAAAGGGAGAAAATTTTTAGTCTGCAGATTCACAGTTTTATATGTAAATTCTAGGCATTACATTTTGTTTAATATTCCTGTCAATAAATTTAGGAACTAAAATAAATGAGTACTTCAAGATCCTTCTTAAACACTTAAGAGTGCTGAACCTAAAGGGAAGGAAGCCTCTAATTCCTCAGGGAAGAGGGTAAGTTGCCTCAGGGGGAGGGTCTCGTGATTGTTGGAACTTTGTGCTCATATTAATAGGCAACAGACAGACGGTAAGAGCAACAAAGACCCTGAGCTTTTTCCCTCTAAATTCAGACCAATGATAACAATCTCTAACACTTAGGGAGCACCTAGAATGTTCTGGAAAACGTTCAAAGTCTTTCATACCTCAATTCATTTAATTCTCAGGGTAACCTATGAGGGGGATGTTATTCCTGTCTTAACACGAAGAAACTGGCACAGAAACTATGATTCTTTAGGAGGGAGGTTTTTTTTTGGGAGGAGGAAGACCAGCCCTGAGCTAACATCTGCTGCAATCCTCCTCTTTTTGCTGAGGAAGACTGGCCCTGGGCTAACATCCATGCCCATCTTCCTCTACTTTATACGGGACGCTGCGACAGCATGGCCTGACAAGCGGTGCGTCAGTGGGAACCTGGGATCCGACCCTGTGAACCCCGGACCGCCAACGCAGAGTGCGCACACTTAACCGCTATGCCACCGGGCGGGCCCCGGGAGGAGGATTTTAACGGGAAACTTAAAGACCTTAGGACTACAAATGGAAAGGAAATATTACTATTCAAAAGACTGAAAATAGTTTTAAATGAAAGGAAAAAGTTCTGAGGTTTTCAAACGCTATCTATAGATAAAGAAATTAAAACATTCCATTTCCATTTGGAATGACCAGTATTCCTCCTACTATGCACTGAATTTATAAAACCAAACTCTAAGACTAGGAAGCCATTTTACAAAGATCTTATAAAATCAAAGTCCTCTGGCTCTCAGTTAAGTGCTTTGCCCAGGATTGCGTGATGTCTCTTTCTTTACTGTGTCCACACTGTCAACTATTCGTTTTTAAACAAGAGTTTGAGAAGTAGTGAGGTTAACAGGTTTGATTGGTCCAAGTGGACACCTAAACCTGCCCAATACCACCTAACACTTACCAAATGCATGCAGACACACCTGCAGACACAGCATCGCTCACACACATGTACACGCAACACGTCACTCACTTGAAGGGATGTGCTAAAGGTCTTCTCTACCTACAATTCTGTTTCTTGCTGAGGATGGAAAGAAGCTTGACTCGTCTTCAATGAGGAAGAGTTCCTGCCGATGTCTGGTGAATTGGGCAGTGAAATATTCAGGATGAGGATGCTTCACATTCCTTGGGAGCTTCACAGGTCCAGCCAGATAGCTCAAGGGGATATTTGCATCTCGGGGAATATCACTCTCCTTAATAGGCATTTTGATTCCCAACACTTCAGCGTAAGTAACTAATACATCCCAAGGGGCATGGATCTTGACAAAATAAGTTCTTCCATCTTCAGAGTTCTGTATAACGAGGCGGCAAAATAATAGAAAGATTACTGATCTGTTTGTTACTGAGCTGATTAAAGAAAGGAAACAAAATTTTATAAAATTTCAAACAAATTAAAGATGTCACAGCATTTTCAATTTATTGAAAATTTTCAGCAAAACTTCTAGGAGAGCAAACTCTCAAAACAGATATAAATATTATACTTACATATACATGTATGTATATGTATATATGTTATATATATAGGTGTGTGAGACAGAGACAGACAAAGACAGAATATTTTTTAAAACATAGCTCAGGGTCAATGTACACTAGACGGAAATCCACAGATACGTATGTGGTTCTGGGCAATCTCTTAAGTTTTTAGTGACTAGCTACGAGCTCAGAATTGTGTTTAGGGTACTGAGGGATACACACAAAGTGTAAGATGCACTCTCTCTTTTCCCCCAGCTTCTACATACAGCCTACACCTAGAGGAAGAACTTGCGGTAATAAGGGTTCATCAACAAGGGTACAGGAGAATAATTAAGTTATAGATTGTGTGGTATAATACATATTTATTAGTTCAATAAAAACAGGGATAAATAAGAACTAGAAGGTGTTAATTTACAACTAGAGAGTATTAGTTTCATGGACAGAGTGGCATCTGAAATAGGTCTTTAAAAACAATTATGAAGGAAATTCTAGAAAACCAGTAAATGGCAGGAGGTTAAAAAAAAAAAGGACTTGACATATTCTTGAGCAGAAAAAACGTCTTTCGGCATAAATAGCAGGTTGTGCTGCCAGGTAGCCAGGTTAACCAGTGAGGGTGCCAGATGACAGGCAGCCTTCAAAATTAGATAGATATGAAACAAAAACCACGTCTTCACCATCTTTGTATCCTGCATAGAATTACGTATGTCTATTTTTAAAGTGCTCCACTCATCATCTCATATTCAGAGCACTGACCTACTTATTCACCCGAAGACCGCAGGCCCTACCATCCCCCCTGTACATATCTGTAGCCAAAAGGCTACTGCGTTGCTACCAAACACAAGTCTGTCCAGTCAGAGGCAAGAGCAGGAGAAAACAACACTTCAAACACCAAGATTTTGATACTAATTAACAACTACATTTACCCTTTTGTCTTCAATTTCCAACTCAAGACCTGTTTTTCTGAGATTTTGTTCAAACACTTGTCTTCTTTCCTGTGGAAAAACAAACCAATAGAATCATGTAGAAAACTTTTCTTTTATTAGCCCAGTGATAAACAGACTTGTTTCACAATGACTGTCCCTCCAGATGGTCCTCTGCCCCTCCCATGGCTGTAAATAAAAGTACCGTATGTATTCCCCATCTTAGTGCCATGTATTGCTTTTTCCCTGTACTATAATTCACAAAATAACTATAAAAATCCAGTATGTCTAGGAATAATCTCCAGGAAATGTGCAGGACCTCTATCTGAAAAACTGCACAAAACTTGACTGAATAACATTTAAAAAACTTGATGAACAGAGAGACATATCATGCTCCTAGTTGGGAAGACTCAGTATTACAAAGATATCAGTACTCTTCAATTCATGATATTGAAATTTATGTAATTTAATTATGTAATAAAATTTAATGCAATTTTAAGTCAAAATATCATCATGGCTTCTTAATCTTGAAGAACAGAATAGCTTCACTTAGAAAAAGTAAAATTAAATTAAATGCAAATAATCCTTACTTGTAGGCTTTAAAACAATGCATTGATTCTTGAAAAATCTTTTGGCCTTAATTATGATTTAAGTGGGAAAAATTTCATAGTAATGGAAATTTTAAAAGGGTTCACTAGGATATTACAGGACGCTCATCTTCAAATGGACATGTGTTCCTTGAGATATCTTCAAACTATACAAGGAATGAAAGATCATTTCATTGTGCTTTTTTCTCCACTTCCAGTGTTTACTACCTATGAGAACAAGTCTATTACCACATATGAAAACAGGTCTATGACGGTGGAGCAAATTCTCCCTCTCAGCTACCCTCTCGTAATTACCCTTCCTCTGTGTTACCAAAGTAAGGTAAACTGCCAACTTCTAGGAAACAAAAAAATGGGGGGCAGGGGAAGGACATTCAAAATATTATTTTCAGTACTGAAAAAGTGAATAACTCTTCTCATTATAGTAACAAATGTTTTTGCAAGGCATATGGTCACCAATTCTCCAAGTTCAACAAAATTGAAGGCACAGCTGATAGGATTGTTAGCTAACAGACCATTAAACATTACTTTTATGATAAATCACTGTGTAATTTTGGGATATAATTCAGATGTTCAATAAAGATTAAAACTGCTAAAATAACGCTCTTTCTATTCCAATTTACTTGTTTATCTGAACAAGCTTAATTTACACTAACATATATATAAAAAAAAAGGAATATAGGTGAAACTGAACCATCTCGTTCTAGGAATAATTTTCATTCATCTGTGAATAAAGACAATGTTTTTTAAAGCCCCTCTGTCCATCTCATTAATTGATGCATTTATGATGAGTTTACTTTTTATATTAGATAATTACTTTTCAAATTTTATAATATATTCGTGATGTTTTATCAATTATGCATTTGTATAATTGTAAAAAAAACTCAAAAGCAAAAGTTTAAGGCTTAGACTGTTATGGTTAAAGGAAATAAAAATATTTCAATGTATATACATATATTTGTTTTACCAAACTTATGATTGAACAAACAATAAAAGATTCCCAAAGATAAAACATTTACATTAGGAAGGATTATATGCAGGGAAAGTGGAATGGAAATTTTAGGTGAAGGAGAAAAATAAATGATGTAAAAGTGAAGTGTTAAAGAAGGGTTTCTTCATAGAGTTCATTTTTTTAAATGAATGATGGTGGGTGTCAAATTTCTATAGTATTTACTTTCCACAGATATATGTTAAAAAGTGATTTAACTGGACTATTTACAATATATTGTAAATTACATCCTTTGCAGCTTTGAAATGTATGATGGATAATTATAGATGGAGAAGACTTGTAAATGGATCAGGCTTTTGAGGGAAGTTCAGGAATTCATTTTAGACCTGCTGAGTCTAAGATTCTCTGAGACTTCCAAGTAGAGATGCAGAATAGTCATATGGGAGAGAAGTATGAACTGGACAGGTAAACTTTGGAATTAACACAGACGTAGTTTTAAAACTGTGAGACAGGATGTATCATCAAAGAAATCAATGCAGGCTGAGAAAAGAAGACTAAGGACTGGACCCTGAAGCACTACAATAATAAGGGATCAGAGAGAAGAAAAGATTGAGAAGGAGCAACTAGTGTAATAAGAGAAAAACTAAGAGACTGTGGAGTCCCAGAAGCCAAGTGAAGAACATGCTTAATAGAAAACAGAATGATAAACTATGGCAAATGCTGCTAACAGGTGAAGTAAGATGAGGGTTGAGACTTGACCACTGGATTTATTTATATGAATATGAGCAGAGGGATTGAGGTGAAGGCCTGATAGGAATGAGTTTAAGAGAAATCCGGGCAGAAAGGAATTTGAGAAATGGACAGTAGCTGGCAGGGAAACTGAGATCAAAAGAAGGTTTTTGGGGCTAGCCCTGTGGCTTAGCGGTTAAGTACCCACGCTCCACTACCGGCGGCCCGGGTTCGGATCCCGGCACGCACCGATGCACCTCTTCTCCGGCCATGCTGAGGCCGCGTCCCACATACAGCAACTAGAAGGATGTGCAACTATGACATACAACTATCTACTGGGGCTTTGGGGAAAAAAGGAGGAGGATTGGCAATAGATGTTAGCTCAGAGCTGGTCTTCCTCAGCAAAGAGAGGAGGATTAGCATGGATGTTAGCTCAGGGCTGATCTTCCTCACAAAAAAAAAAAAAAAATGAGAAGGTTTGTGTTCTTGCTAATTTTTTTTTAATATGGAAGAATTACCAGCATGTTTGTTTACTAAAAGGAATGACCCAGTAAAGAACAACACAAAATATAATTTAGAAAAGAATCCTAAGAGCAATATCCCTCAGTAGGTGTACACAAGAGTCAATAGAAGAGGACTGAAACTACTCTCTTAGAAAGGCCTGCCTGGAAGGTTGGCTCTGGCATCTGGGAACGTGGTGTTTAGGAGGGTTCCCACCATTCCCAGAACTGATGAGTGTGGTCACTTTACCTAAACTGTTTGTACAAACAATATAGTGTATGCTGAACGTCTGCTCAATGGGGACAGAAGGGCTGAGTTAGAGGATAAGAGAACTGCAAAGGGAGTTCAAGAAACAGAGAGGCTAGGTGCCAAAAGAACCATCTCTGTCCACACGGAGATTACCAATAATCGAAAAAGGAGAGCCTGATAACGAACCAGGAGCTAAAACTGTTGAGAAATAAAAGGGAAGACCCAGGAACAGATTAATAACAACAATACGGGGTGGTGATAGCTCTGCTGAGATTTAAAGCTCAGGAACTTTAGGGATAAGACGGGGAGAACGAACTGCAATCAACAATAAGACACAAGGAGGGCAGGCATTCACCTGTCTGCAGAAAAAGGCTCTGTAAGGAACAATCCACCACAACTTGAGGGGACTGTTGGGCAAGGCAACAAACCTCAACCAAGAGCCAGGTCGGAAGGGCACATTCCGAGAAGAGATGAAAATGATGATAGTGAATGAATTTCAGAGGTCTGGTGGAAGGGTTTCCAGGGAAGAGGTAGATGAAAGGGACAGAAATGGATATCTATAGGGTCTTATGGAGATAAAACTTATAGTTTTTTATTTTTATTTTATATGACAGTTATTTCCTATGTAAGTATGTTACTAAATGTGTGTGTATATATGCTTACACATAATGGATTAATATATTAATTCACTATTTCATATATCTAATATTTATTGAGCATCCATTATGTTCCGACTACTATTCTAGGCATTTGGGTATATAGCAACGAACAAGACAAAATCCTTGGTCTTATGAACTTAACTTATGTTGTTGAACACAGCAAACAAAAGAATAAATAATATGTTAGAAAGTGATGTTAAAATGAAAAGAAAATAGGATAAGAAATAGAGCATAATGTGAAAGCTATTTCAGACAGAATGGATTAGCCATATGTTTTCAAAATGAAAACTGCTTATAAAAGATAGATACTACATTCAGACATATTTAAATTTTGGAGGTCACATTATTGGTGAGCTGAATAAAAAAATATCAGTCGCTTGGAAGAAAACGAAAAAGAAGTTATTGTCTGAAATGTCAAAAAAAATAAAATTGACTTTACACACCCATTCTTAGGCTGCCTATTTTGTGGTCTTCTCACTGAGTTGCAGCTTTCGGTGAACACTTGAGAGGCCTCTGACCTTCACTACACAATTCAGTGGGAACATCCCTGTGAAACTAAAGAAGGTGCCTCTTTTTATTGTTCCCCGTTTCTCTCACACAAACACTTACCGCCTTTAACTCTGCTTCTTTCTTTATGTCATCAACATAGGAAAGCACGAAATCAATTTGCCTAACACCATCTCGGAAGAAGATAGAATCTTTGCTTTGTTCATCTTTTTTAAACTGCAGGAGACATGAATGACACAACTTTAAATCATAGTTTTATTTTCAAATGGCAAAAACATGAAAGGGATTAGCTAAACTTTGGTCCCTGTCTAATTCTTCTCAGTCCTGACATGACTGGCGAAGACAAATAACCAGGGTTCTTATCAACAGAAGATGACGCTCGTGTTAGCAAGTCAAAGTCCGTGAAGGAGACAGATATATACGGAACAATAAAGCCCAGGCATACTAAATACACACACACACAACAAAATGCTGCAATTAGACCAAAATATAAAATGAATATATGTATACATCATCCCAAAACGCATATTTAGAGAGAGTGGTTATCTTCATTAAAAAACATGCAAATTAGTCCAACAAATAATGCATGGTCACACACTGCTTTAGAGGTGTAGTTAATTATAGGCCAATTAATGACTCTCTTGGTAAGAAAATAAACTTATGATTAATGCTTATACCATGTTTTCATAAAATTGCCACTTTCTAATTCAACTTCGGAAGAGTTAAAATAAAACCACAGTGCAGTTAAAAATGAGAAAGCAGGTAGCTTGCCAGCTGACTTCACTACAAGTAAACTCTCATGCAAATCTCCTTTCAACATCAATTTCCTAAGTGAACCCAAATCAATCCTTTGTTTAAATTTGTGTTATCAATTCTATCCATGTGATAGTAAAAGTTACAAATTCAACTGTCACATGTTGCATAGTTCATTAATTCCTTTCCTTTCAAAAGTGTAAAAACACCAGAGAGCCTGAGAAAGAAGAGATTTCATGTATGACTGATTTGGTTTTCTTCTTAGTTTATAAGTAATTTATGATATTTAATACTGGAATAGCCTAGATATAACACTTAGAATGATACAAATAGATGAAGCAGTGGATGTCAGTGATCTCTCTAACCCGGTGATGCAAAGTTGTAATATAGACAACTTTCCAATTGCTTTAGCTAAACTGTGAATGGGGAACTGGATGTTTTTAATTTTCATAATTGGTATTTATATTAGCTTATATTAGCTTTATGATACTCTACGCTGTTTTTCACCCACGTTCAGCCAGACAGATCTCCCATAAAAAGGAATGGATATAGATCAGTCATGTACAAATAAGACAAAAACCTCATATTTGATCTGTGGTCGATGAACAGAGTAAGTGTATTTTATCTATATGAATGTATACCTGATGTGTCTCAGAAAGAACTAGCTCCCAATGCACAGGAGGAAACGAGTGAAAAAATAAACAAAAAACATTCAGGGAATCTAGAGATTAAATATCAAAATATAGTAACTCAAATGTTATGTCTGAGGTCTCTGCACCTCAGCCAAAGGATGCATAATCATCTCCTTTTCCCTAAAAGAAAATGAAAGAACCTGAGGAAGCTCAGACTGTATCATATTATACCTTGATTATGTCACTAAAAAAAGGAAAAGTAAACGAAACAAAACAATCATTTGAGCTTTCATAAATCATCATAGTATTAGCATATCTTAAGAAGTTCACCAAAACTTGTAGAAGCCAACTGGGGCAGAAAAAAAAAAACACTAATTAGACTAAATATAATCAAAGCAAAAAATCAGAGGGAAAAAATGCATTAATCCTTTCACTCTAAGTCTGTGACAGCTATATTTTGCATGGTAGGATATTTTTTTAAAACAACATATATTTACAAGTGCTCTTATTGTTTGGACAAGCTAAATCTAGGTCCACAAAGAGAAGTTCTGGTGACAGAAGTGGTGCACATAGAAATCAACAAAAATCACACTCACAAAATTTGACTATTAGGGAGTAAACAAGGTAGCTAGAAGAACAGTGACTCCAACAATTTTTCTGAGTGTTCAGTCAAAATGGGTATATACCTACTTGCCTTCTGAAAGCCAAAGGCTACCTAGGAAAACCCAACTTCTCTCATTATGTTGTTCTCTAACTATGAACTGTGAAATTTTTTAAAATACAGAGAAATCACTGGTAGCCTTGTAAATCACCATGAGGTAAATGTCTTAGGACTGTTAAAAACTGGTTAAAGCCAATTGGGGCAGAAAAAGCCTGATAATTTTGTTACATATAACTGATATTATTAAAACACGTCATTCTTTTGTTTTGCTCAAGACATGACATTAAGATCATATTTTGCAGTATGTGTATGTGTTTGTGTTCATATTTGATTTGTTCTTAGAAATGCCTATTTATAATGAGGCAAACATCTGGGTGGCTTTTCTCTGAATGAGGTAGTTATTCTGAGGTTCACAGACCTAGATTCCTAATTCGGGTTCATAAACCTCTGAAACTGTATGTAAATTGTGTGTATGTATGTGTGTGTATATACATATGTGTATGTTATATATATATATATACACACAGACACACACACACACACACACAAACAGATATTTTTGGAAGAGGGTCCATAGCTTTAATCAGATCCAAAAAAGATTAAGAATCACTATTCTAAAACCTCAATTGCCCAGGGACTAGGAATCAGTGACAAAGTCCCCCCAAATCAATAGTGTTCATTGGAAGAGAAATGACTCAGGCTATCACTGCAGCCATCCAGAGCATAAGCAGCATCATTCCACACTAGTTTTACCATAAGACGTCGCCTCAGGAACAAATTGAATCGTTTTGCAGGCTGTGAAGCAATCAGTGGAGAGTTAGAGAATCCTGCCCAGGATTAAAGAAAAGATTCCGAAAAACGGACACACGCAAACCAACCCTCAGTACAATCACTCGTGTGAATGTGTGTGTGCAATACTTAATGTTGAGGGGTGGGAGAGGTTAGCACGAAGGAAAGAACAAAAAATAGGAAGAAAACAAAGAATAAAGGAAGGAAAAAAAAAGACTTCCAAGTACGTTGCCCTAAGTCCTTTATACAGTCAGTTTAAATAATACATATTTGTGGAACTGAATTAAGAAAGGAGAGAGAAAAAAGAATAATGAAGGGAAACATGGGAATAATGAAAATGTAAAGTAAAATAGTTATCCTGTTAAGTATTCCTCTATATATCAGGCAAAGAAAGCAAAATTACTACAGTTTTACTGGGACTATGTATGGAATGGAAAGTTCACTCGATAGTGTAAAACATTTCATAGCCTCCCAAAATACTGGGGGAAAAAAGGAAAAGTCATTGGATTATTTAAATATTGAGTTGTCTTCAATCTTCGGTTACCACGACTATTATTTTTAAATACCAAGGCAACTAGCTAAAAACATCTGGGATAATCAATAATATTTGAAAGAAAACCAAACCTATGGCACAAAAAGGCTAGTATTCTGTGTATTTTATAGTATAATGAAACAACAGATAATCTAATAAAATTATCAATAAGGAGTTTCAGTTCTTATCATGCAAGTTTTGCTTAAACTGTTGTTTCCTAGAACAGGCTAACACTGGAGTGAAAATCCCTGGTCTGTAAACTGATGACCCCACTACTTAGAAAGGAGTTAATACTGCTGTTACTTAAAAACACGACAGATACGAGATGGATGTTGGTCCTTGTTTAAGGCATATTTTAAATTATATTCTTCTGTTGGGCTGAAATTTTTCACCTTAGCACTATGATTTTCTGGGAATCTTTCACGAGATTTACAAGTTACTGTTTTTCTCAGATATTTTCCCTAAATTCATTACAGAATTGTTATGAGAATTGAAAGAGTTGTACAGTAAGGAGCTATGCAGGATCACATTATGATCTTCATGGGCTCTGGCCTGTTTGCCTTTCATGGGCCCCTTCCTCCATTAAAAATTAAAAAAAAATACATATATATATATACACACACACATATACACATAAAATATATACTATTATATATGTCTTTGTTTTTTTATTCTGATTTTAAAAGAAATTAAAATTAAAATATTTCCATGGGCTCCAAAAAGCATCAGGGGCCATAGCAGGCACTGTGCCTACTGTGCCTAGAGGATAAGTTGGCCCTGGAGTCAGGGTTAAGTAGGTACCACCACATTCAAGAGCTGCTGAGAGTGCAGGGCATAAAAATTACCTTGACGACTGGTAAAAAGCCTTCTGTGATAAATACATCTAACATCAAGTTAGTCTGCAGCTTTTCCAATCACATGATATCCTCATATAAAAACCAGCGGGCTCAACGCCAGCAGTTGGTCCTGAAAACGTATTGACTCAATAGCTAATATTTTCTTAACTTGATTTTAAATATACTAAATGAAGATCACCAAAGGACTTGATTAAAAAAGATAATATTAACATTTTATAGAAAAAAATTTTAGAATAACTTTATTACATATTTCCATCATGTGCTGAATATGGCCACTTTTTATTTAAAAAAATGGATAACACTGAAACTAATGAAAACGTATTTTTAAAATCATTCCTATTTCCTTGTTACCTCAGCAACTATTTGGTGTATTTATTTCCAGTTTTGTCTAAGCACTGAATTTTTTAATATAGTAAGTGATTATATTTAATGTACACATTCTTCTTGCCTTTTTCATAATATTACCATAATATTAAAATAAATTTTCATATCAGCTTTTCTTAAACACAATTTTGTCTATATAATTCCAGTTCATTAAATTTAATCTAATTTATTTGTACATTACTACTATACTTTAGAGTCCCTTCTCTAGAAATAGAGTTGAAAACCTATATTACTGGCGCTACATAGTAAGAGTTGTCAATAGCATCTTTCTCTTCTTATATATAATTTTCATCACTCTTCTGTGTTCTTCTTCCTTTAGGTATTTCTTTCTCTTCACACCCTTCCCTGTCATGTCTGAACGTCTCACCAGGCCGGCCCCCGACCGGTGTAGGCGCCACCTGGTGCGGGAGGAGCAGGCCGCACTTAGGTCGCCCACTGCACTTTCTGTCTCAGCTACAGATCATTTGTGAGAGATTAGGGACAAAAAAGTCCAGTATTATAGGCGTTTTCTATATTCTAAGAGAATGAAAATCAGTATAATTCACGGAGTTATACCATAACACATTCAATGTTCTGAATTTGTAAGCAAAAACAGTCCAACTGCTCTTGAGACTTGAATTTCATATTAAAATCTATATTATCCCTCGAAGTTAAGGATGTAGGTACTCAATCTACAAACTATAAAACCCCTTACTGAATGGACCCTACACAAGTCCTAAATTTAAACAAAACCACAGCAATTAAATAGTAGCCAACATATCCTGATTTCTTTGTGCCAGACACTGTGTACTCGGTATGTTTAATAACGTTGTCGGGTAGAGCCTGTTAACTTTCAGCAAATGGCAATGAAGACATATGAGCAGCTTGGTACACCAAAGGCTGGTAACGGGGGCAGCGCACCCTCGGTGCACACAAAACTCAAATAATGAAACCAACAAAAGTCAGTCACCAGGAAATTCTACACAGCATTATTGATAAAGTAGTCCTTCCCGAAAAATATAATTTTGTCTAAATCCTAAACAATTCCTGTTGAATTTTAATAATCTATATGTAAGTTTCAATTTAGTAAACGGAAGTTAATTTGGAGCATCCCCAGTTGTACGTGACCAGATCCGAATATGCCAATGATTGTGGCTTCAGCAAGACTTCACTTTGAGAGTATATGTGTAACTCTCTTGAAGATTGCTTTGAGTGCATTTCATATTCCCAGCCTCTGTGGTCTACATATTCCTATGTTTAAACTGTAATAATAGCTGTGTGAAATTTTTCTGTTTTTCTAGTGTGAAGTATTAGATGAGTTAATCAGACACAAAAATATTTGCAAATACCTGCAATGAACCTTGGAGAATATACAGTGCAACACCAAGCTTTAAAGCTGTTCCTTTAAGACCAGCGCATAGAAATTGTGAAGAAACCATTAACCATGCAGCAAAAAACGTAAGGAAATGGATATTTGCACATAAAAAGAGAATCCAATTTATAAGAAGAATGCCAGGGAAAATGGCAAAAGATGCCTGTCTTACATGGCCAGAAGAAATCAAAATTTCAATGTTTGAATTCATCAATCAGTTTCACCAAGAACCAGACACTCCTTCTATAATAATGAGACAAATAATCTCAATGTTCACTCTCATTTAGCCATTTTCTTTGTTTTTGATTTTTGTTGCAGAAGAAGAAAAACTTTGGAAATTTTTACCAAATATAATCGAATTTAGGATGAATTTTCTGGTGAAGATCCTTCTAATGGAATTTTTTTTACACTGCAAAAACATTTGAAAGAAGATAGAACAGATCTCAAAAAAAACAAAGACATGCACAGTATTATGATTTCCTTAATTTACTGTGAAATGGGATTTTATGTATCTCTAAAACATTCATCCTTATGTTTAAGACTTTTCCTAACTATTTGTATAGCTGTTGCTTGATGTTAAAGAAACTTTTGGAGTTAAAATTAATAAAATATATTCTTTGATCAACTATGAGCATATTTTACAAATCTGGCTATACACTATTGAGCATAAATATGCAAAGCTCAATTTTAAATACATCACTGACACATTTGCAAAAAGCCCCAAAACAGGCACCATAATGCTGAGATAGACCAATATGTAGGAATAAGGTTTTTTCCCTTTTTTTCCAAAATTAATTAATATAATTTAAAAGTACTGATTATCATTTTTTGTAATAATATATTTACTTTTAATTTTTACTTTTTTAACTATCAAGAACATATACATATAAATCCAATAATATAAATCGTTCACTGTATGTATTACTTTTCTGGCCATCATTAACATTTATTTCATTTCATTATTAAGCCTGAAATATATTTTGTCATGTAGGGGAGGTGTGTTAAAACAAATTAACTATTCCAGGTGGCAAATACGCTGTGTACAGCACTCCAAACAAGGGATAGACTGGCTCAGAACTTTAAAACAATGAATATTCTGGTGAGGCTTCTTAATATGTTTTATTAAATACCGTAACAACTAACACAGAAAAAAATAATTCAGAGCAAATATCTCCTAATACTACCACCAACTTTTCAGGTTATGTGAGATCACATAAAAGAATGCTCACATGTGGAAGGAAGTCTAACAGCAAGAGGTGAAAGAAATGTGGCCTACAGCCTTCTATATGTTTTCATTTCATTCAAGTCAATCTTATTTTTTCAAGGCCCATTCTGACTTCCTTCATGAATTCCCTCCACACAGTGAGTGCTGTGTCATCTGACACCCTACAGCCCTCATGCCTGTCCTGCTCATGGGGCACTAACACGTTGCTTTAGGAGATCTCCATGCTGACTGCTTTCAACCTTGCACACATGCACCAACAGAGAGCGATCTGGAAGATCAACTCAAGGAAAACTCCAAGAACAGAGAGCAAAAAGACAACAAAATTTAAAATGAGAGAAAATCCAAGACAATCCCAGTGGTTCAGTATTTGCCAATAAAAATTTCCAAAAAAGAGCACATGGAAAATAAAGGAAAGAAATGATCAACAAAATACCAGGGAGAGATTTTCCTTAGCCGAAAACAAGTGCATGAGTCTTAGGACTGAAACTGCCTCCACGTGCCACAAAAAATAAGTGAAAGAAAATCACAGTCAGTGGAATATCAAAGCTTGAGGCTAAAGAGACAAATCTAAAAGTACTTCAGACATGCATATCTATATAAAACAAAACAAACAAACTGAAAACAACGGATTACCTGTAGTAAAATGAGACTCAAATTGGCCCCAGACTTCTTACAAGCAATGCTGGATTCATTAAAATATGGAGCTGTACCTTCAAAGGTTCCAAGGAAAAATTATTTTGAACCTACAGTTCTAAATCTAGACAAACTATACTGTATTATATTCCTTTTACTCTTCCTTCTTGCCTACTTTTGAAATTATTCAATTTTTACCCTCTAATAGTTGGCTATTTATTCCTTTACTATATTTTTGCCCAAAAGATAATACATACACATTTAACTTATTGGAATCTAATATAAATTAGCACTTTTACTACTTTCTGTACAATGCAAATACCTTTGAACACTTTAAGTTCTACATTTTGAACTATTCTGCCATGTATTTTAAATCTTATATCTTTTAAAAGCAAGATGATAATCGATATATATATAGCAATATCCAATTGGAAATTGAAAAAAAAAACACTATTTACAAGAGTATCAAAAATATGAAGTATTTATGGACAGATTTACCAGTATATGTGCAAGACTTGTATACTGAAAATGTTGCTGAGATAGATTAAAGAAGATCAAGATAGAGACATATTCCATGTTCATGTATTGAAAGATCAATATTGTTAAGATATAAAGTCTCCTCAAATTGCTCTACAGATTCTAAGCAATACCAATCAAACACACGTAAATTTTTTTTTAGAAATTGGCAAGCTGACTCTAAAATTTATATGGAAATGCAAAGGATCTAGAATAGCCAAACAATTTTGATAAAGAAGAAAATACGAAATATGTTCTTGCTAATGAAGAAAAATGAAAATACGTCCAGTGATACATATTCTGCTGGCTATCTCTGATTTGTCCCAGCAGATCCCCTCTCTATCTCTCTCTACCCTGTTTCATTCTCGTGAGTGTGACTGGTTTAGCTATCAAAGAGTTCCCTTAACCTCCGGCTTCCCACAAACGATTGGAGAAAAGGAATGAATGAGTGTCTTCCTTCCTGAGGCTGGATTCAGGAAGGCTGTATCCCTCCACTGAAGGTCACTGAGCCTCTCGCGACTGTCTTAAGTACATGACTCTGTCCTTCTGGGTTCTAATAACTGTTCCCTTCAGTTCTGCGGGTGATAACAGATTCACGGTTACCAGATGTACACATACTGGGATTTTCCTGCACCCCATATTTGTAAAAGTTTTTTTTTTTTATTAAGCCCTCCTCAAATTATCCTACTCTGAGTATGCCTAATGGGACCTTGATTGATACAAATTTTTCTTTTGAGATATTTCTGCGACATTAAAAGAAAATTCCCTAGAGAGCAGGTTGACTCTAGGACTGACACAGGAAAAGTACAAGATGAGCTTTGAGTACCTTGTAGTGCCAGAAAGTAAGAAAATGCTAAAAACAAAATTAATAGGGATATGTCAAAGGGATACAGTACTCAACTGAAAAAGCTCCTAATAGCCAATGCTAGAACAATCTGAGCAACAAAATAAATAAAGCGCTATTGGGTTTATAACACAAAATACAAAATAAATATCCTTGAGTCCATAGTGATATAAATAAATAAATACACAAATAATACATAAATAAATACATGAATAAATAAATAAAAAGAGACAAATATCCCATACAGAAAGATTCCAAATAATTCATTTACCCTTAAAGAGGTGGAACATAACCTCCCGATCCTTAAGCATGGGCTGCACATAGTGACCTGACTTTCTTCCAAAGAGCACAGGATGGAAAGGAGAAAACAAAGAATAACTTTATAGTGGGGCAACCTGACAAACACTATTCAAGGCAGGCATCAGGTTCACATCGAGAGTGATAAGTCATGTTGACAGGATGTACCCTTGATATAATGTGATGAAAACAGCATTTCTATTGTCTTCCTCCCCAAAACACATGACCCCAGTCTAATCATGAGAAGAACATCCAAGAAGTCCTAATTGAGGACATTCTACAAAACACCTGACAAGTACTCCTCAAAACTGTGAAGGTCATCAAAAACAAGAAAAGTATGAGAAACTGTGACAGCCAACAGGAGCCTGAGGACACATGACTACTAGATGCAAGGTGGGGGCCCTGGAGGGGATCCCGGAACAGAAAGAGGACATCAGGGGAAATCAAGGAAATCTGAATGCAGTATGGACTTCAGTTAATAATAACATACCAATATTGGTTCATTAATTGTGACAAATGTACCACACTAATGCAAAACGCTAATAACAGGGGAAAATGGGTGTGCAGTACAAGGCACTTCACATTCATATTAAATCGGTAAATCTAAAACTATACTAAAATAAAAAGTTTATTAGAAAAAGAAACTGACTTCAATTTTAACAACTTACTGTTTAACCAAAGACAATGTCATCATAAAAGATGAAATACCATAAATCACTTTAAAATCATTTAGAATCTAAGATTTCAATTAAGAGTATACGACATAATTGGGGAAATTATTTGAAATTTATATCACAGACAAGGGGATAACAATAAATATGTAAACAGCCCTCCAAAAAAACAAGAGAAAAAAGAAAAACCTACCAGCTTGACAAGAAAATAGACATAATATATGAATAGAATGGTTCAGCAAATTACAACGACCATCCACAAAGAAAAAGATGCAAATCTCATTCATATTGAGAGAAACGCAGATTTAAACTACACTAAAATACAGAGCTAACCGAAAAAGCTCCCAACAACCACCATCACACTATCAGACAGGCAAAAATCTAAAATCATGACAACACACTGTTGATGAGACTGTGAGGAAACAGGCACTCTCATTGGTTAGAAAAGCAGAATGCAGGGGAATTTGGCAAATACGGCAAAACTACATACACCTTTATTCTCTGATATAGAAATCCTATTTAGAAAGATACATGGGCCAAAATAGTGCAAGACTAATTCCCAAGGGGATTTATTGTGGCAATATTTGTAATAGCAAGATTGAAAACAACTCAAATGTCCATCAATAAAAGGACTGGATGAATATGCTATGCTAAACCCCCAAAACGGAATATTAGGCAGCTTACAAATGAATGAGAATGAATTCTCTACACAATATACATGAACTCCAGGATATGTATTTTTTGTGTGTATGTGTGTGAGGAAGATTAGCCCCGAGCTAACATCCGTTGCTAATCCTCCTCTTTTTGCTGAGGAAGATTGGCCTTTGGCTAACATCCATGCCCATCTTCCTCTACTTTATATGTGGGACGCCTGCCACAGCATGGCTTGATAAGCGGTGCATAGGTCCACACCGGGGATCCAAACCTACAAACCCCGGGCCACCAAAGCGGAGCATGCGAATTTAAACGCTCCACCACCAAGCTAGCCTCCAGGATGTGTATTTAAGTGAAAATCAAGGAATAGACCAGTATCTACAGTATGCTGCCTTTAGTGTAAGCAGCAGGAGGAATATCAATACGCATATGTATGTGTACACACACACACACACACACACACACACAAACACATGGAAAAGTAAAAGACATACTAGAAGGATAAACCAAATAAAAATGGTTACTATAGAAGGATTAAGAGGAAAAAGAAGGAAGAAAGTTTTCTCTGAAAATGCTCTGTTTCATAACCGAGATAGATTTACCTTCAAGCTAATAGAGTCCAAGCTCCAGGGCCTCGTACTCACACCAGCCCCTCCAAGATTTAGGGAGGAGTCTAGCAATGTATTCTCATGGTCAAATACTTTTGTAAATTTTTTACAGAAAATTATTGTTTCATTATTCTTCTTAAAGAGTGATACCAAAACAGCATAAGCTTCAGGCTCCACTAAACCTTATTTGATCTCTGGTTTTCAACTCTGGAATCATGTACATGTTTTACATGGTCAAAAATCAAAAATAAATTAAAAAGAAAACAAAACAACAAAATTCCAATTATTATAATTTAATCACCCCCACAACCTTCTGGACACAATGAAAAGCAAAACATCAACGATAAAACTGTCAATATAAGAATATAACTCTATTTCCCCATCTTCCCAAACAGCGTCTTTTACCTACTAAGCAACTAATGAAAAATTTTGAGTCCTTTTACTAACCTCTTAATTGATATTCAAATTTTATTTTTAAATAAATTGTACTTCTCCATGATTATTCTTAGGCACGCACTTACAGGTAAGAGGTGTGATGTAATGGAGAAAGAATACTGAACTAGGCCTCAGAAACTTGAGTTCTAGTCCAGGATCTGCCTCTTAAACATATGGGTAATTTGGGGCAAGTCATTAAACCTCTCAGACCTTTCCTCTTCTCATTTGTAAAACTGACAAATTAAAATGCAAGTAAAGTGCTTTGTTTTATGTGTCCTCATTAATACGTCTGATGTTACTTGCTTTTCCCATAAGAAACTGATTTTTTCCAAGGTCATAAATTCTCAAATATTATGTATGAGGACCTAAAAAATAACTCTGAACTGGGGAAGAGAAGATCACCATTACTGACTATAAAAAGATACCCCATTTGTGTCCATGCGAGAAAGTATAATACTGATGATGCTTACCGCTGATTCTTCACTGATGAGAAAGCTGGTCTCTCTGCTGCTCAGGCTCTGCCAACAGCACCGTGGGGAAGATATAATGCTGTTAATAATGATGCAAGTGGGGACCATACAACTTTCAACAACAAAAACTCTAGGTTCTCTATGAAGAAATACTAAACCTGCAACTCAGGGGAGCCACGAAACCCTTGACGCTGAATGCAAAACTGCATGTACATATATGTATACACATGCATGTGTGTTCATGAACGTGTGGGCATATATATGTGCATATATGCACATGTGTGTGTGTGCGTATGTGTAAAGAGAGAGAAAGAGCTTGAGAAAGAACGAGAATTTTGGAGACAGCTTTATCAAATAGTAAAAAAAAAAATCACACACAAGAAATAGTTAAGAACTACCCCATTACAGAGAAATAACAGGGAGCTCCATTCTTTGGAAGATGCTGAATCCTGAACAGGGCTGAAAGGGCAGAATTAATTGGCTATTTTAGGTCTTCCAAAATTTGTTTGAAATTATTAAAGTGAATATCTTGGAAAATGCACCACGAGGATTCTTAAGGATTCGTACTTATAACCCAAGAAAAAAAGCCATACATGGATATAAATACACACGAACCACTTGTAATTAAAGCAATGGTGATGCCTCCCTTGGTGTATGGTGGATTTTAAATCCTCATGTCCCATGACAGACCGCTCACCACAGCACACGCTCCTGAGGTCACACCCAATCACTTCTCAGCAATCTCTAGCGACAGGGACAGTAGGGTGCTATGGAAAGGCAGTAGCTAGCAGAAATGACCTCCAACTCATGTCCAGACTGCGAATTCACTTACCTGGTTCTTGGAAAGTCACAAACAGCATCTCATTACACCCAGGTGATGCTGGGCAGATCAGTTTTGAAAACAGGACATAAAAAGCACTATGGACATATTTAAAAAGAACTCAAAGGGCACCTTGGAAACATACCCAGAGCTACAAAAGGTAAGTAGTTGAAGGTGCCAAACAAAAGCAGTAATTAATCAGTGTTCCTAAGGAGGATAAGGAAGAGATCATTTTGAACACACATCAATTTCCCTACTACTGAATTCAATATAAATTCCATAAAAAGATGAATGTCATCTCTGGTGTTAAAGTTATACCGAAACAGGAACTGAGTTGTGGGAAGCTGAGAGTCCGTGATTAAATATACGCTCAAAATCCTATTTCAATGCTACGTGATTCTATCTACCTATGGACCTTAAAGGAATTCCATTAACTCATCTAAATACATCAGATATCAAAGAAAGCTAATGAATATCTTGATCATTCAATTATTTGTATTTAAGACAATATACAAATTTATCATAGCTTCATTTTATACTGACTCTTCATAATTTTTTCAATTATGCTGGAGAACAGTCAGTTGTTTCACTTCTGGGAGGGTATAAGAATACCATACATTAAGGGTTCCAAAAGCAACCAGGCTAGTCACTTTACAATCTCTCACTTTAGGAAAAATGAGTTTGCTGTGACTTTCCAATCAAAAACTGTGGTTACATCTTCAGTGGTAAAATGTAAAATGAAATAACATAGGTTTCTTCATACTTTTTGCTGAGTATTTCCTTGTCTCATTTCTCACTGACCTTAATCTTAGCTGTTTTCAACTCTACATATCCCTCTTCTGGGGCCACGGCTTTCAGGTCTCAGGCTGCCTCCCTCCCTGACCCCAACCATTAAGGAATTGAATGAAGTGGTACAAAATGGAATAAAATGAATGAATGGATGAATGAATGACACAAACTTCCACTAGCAACAAAACATGGCAGCATTCAGAAGATCTCTAAATCATCATTGAAACTCAGTAGCCATCCTGAATATTCTAAACATAAATAGCAATGGTTTAGAGATTGAAATTCAGAAAAAAATACTCATAGATAGGGTTCTTAAAACAATATTCCTAAAGAAGTAATACTGTAAAGTGATTAAGAGAGCGTGCCCTAGAATAAGACTGCCTGGGTTCAGAACCCCAGCATCAACACTTCATATATGTAACAATAAACAAATTTATGTATTCTCAGTATACAGACTCCTCATAACCTCCTTCAATTATGCAAAACTAATTACTTTACATATGTAAACTTGAGCAAGTTAACCTGTCTATGCCACAATTTCTGTAAAGTGAGATTAAATAAGATAACACGTGAGAAGCTCCCAACAAATGTTGGCTTTTTAAAATTAATTTTTGCTTAATTTCTAGTGATCATATCATAGGTTTAATATATTTATCATATCATAAATTTTTAATTTACATAAGATCTTATGAAAGTATAAAACAATTCTTAAATAGTGAGACCAGAATTTCTACACATTCTTCTGTCTTGTAAAAGGCCCAAACATTCATCATAACTATAAATTTGCTAATGGACCAAATCAAATGATTCTAGTCATCTCTGCCTCAATCCACAGCTTAAATGAATATTCTGTTATCAATATGTCTTTTTTAAAAAATTGACTACATTGTAGAGTTTGTCTTTTTACAGCATTTGAGTGTCAGTAAAAAAAAAATCAAGATGGCATAGGGGAAAGTTAAATAAGTTGCATTCACTTTATTTTTTTTCACTTTCGTTTTGAAATAAGTATAGATTCACAGGAACTTGAAAGATAGTACAGAGATCCCTTGGTACCCTCCACCCAGTTTCCCCGAATGGTCACACCCTACATAACTGTAGTACAGTGTCAAAACCAGGAAACTGATATGAGTACAATGTGTGTGTATAGTTGTGTCATTGTATCACATGGGTACATCTGAGGAAGAATCAGCCCAATTAGGATACAGAGCTATTCCATCCACAAAGATCTCCCTCGTGCTACCCCTTTAACATTATGTCTACTTTCCTCCTCCTAAACATCCATAACCCCTAGCAACCATCAATTTGTTTTTCATCTCTATAATATTGCCATTTGAATAAAAATAGAATCATACAGTATGTGGTCTTTTGAGAATTTTTTTTTCCACTCAGCATAATGCCCTGGAGATCAACACAAGTTGTTGTGTGTATCAGTAGTTTGTTCCTTTTTATTGGTGGGTAGTAGTCCATGGTAAGGCTGTCTCACAGTTTATTTAACCAGTCACCTACTGTAACACATTTGGGTTGTTTCCACTCTTGGCTACTACAAATAAAGCTGCTAAGAACATTTGTGCACAGGTTTTTGTGTGCATATAAGTTTTCACTTCTGTGGGATAAATGCCCAAGAGTGTGATTACTAAGTCACATGGTATGTGTACGTTTAGTTTTTTAAGAAACTTCCCAAATGTTTTCCAGAGTGACTGTACCATTTTATATTCCTACCAGCAATGTATGAGAGAACCAGTTACTCTGCGTCCTCACCAGTATTTGGTATTGTCACTATTTTCCACTTTAGCTGTTCTAATAGGAAAACAGTGATATCTCACTTTGGTCTTACTTTGCAATTTCCTAATGGCTAGTGATATTGAACATCTTTTTATGTACAGTCATGCATTGCTTAACGACAGGGATATGTTATGAGAAATGCTTTGCTAGGCAATTTTGTCACTGAGTGAATATCAGAGAGTGTACAGAAGGGGAACAAAATTTGCCAACCCAAAATGTGTCTCTTTAACATGAGGATTATTTTAGGCTGATTATTTTTAAGAAACGAAACTCTGAAAGTTTTTCTTGTTACCTCCCCCTTAACTGCCTAAAAGAATTCAGATAAAAAAATCTGTCTCAGGAAGTGAGCTATCACCCTAGCATCACATGAACTAGCTGGTAGACAGGGAGGAACCTAGAAAAGCCTGTTTGTTGGGCTGCCCTCTGTTCTTCTGTTTCTGTGTGGCCAAACACTTGTTTTCCAAATGTTTGCTCCTTTTCACCTACCTGTGAATTCCCTTCCTACCTTCTGCGGTCCCTGACTCTCCCCATCCCCAACATCTTCTTTTGTCTTTGGCTGAGGATGGTATCTAAGGTGAGGGTTTGGGCCATTTTGGCGAGTTACTCAGTTTTCCTGGGTTTCTCCCACATATACATGTTGTTAAACTTTCATTTGTTTTTCTCCTGTTAACCTGTCTTATGTCAATTTAATCTTAGACCAGCCAGAAGAACCTAGAAGGTAGAGGAAAATTTCTTCCTTCTCTATGGTAATTACACAAACATAGATGGTATAGCCTACTACACATCTAGACTACATGGTACTAATTTTATGAGACCACCATCATACATGCGGTACATTGTCGACTCTAACGTCATTATGCAGCACATGACTGTACTTATCTGCCATCCATATATCCTCTTTAGGGAACTATCTCATTATATATTTTGCCAATTTGGGTTTGTTTTTTAATATTAGGTTTTGCCATTTCTTTATATACCGCAGACATGCGTCCTTTGTCAGATATATGATGCACAAATATTTTCTCCCAGTCCAAAGCTTGTCTGTTCCTCTTAACAGGATCTTTCACAGAAGTTCTTAAATTTGATAAAGTTCAATTTAACAATTTTTAATGGATCATGCTTTTTGTGTCATGTATAAGAACTCTTCACCAAGATCTAGTTTCCAAATATTTTCTCCTATGTTTTCCTCAAAAATTTTTATAGTTTTATGGTTTACATTTAAATCTATAATCAACGTTGAATTAATTTTTGTATAACGTGTGATGTTTAGGTTGAAGTTCATAATTTTGCCTATGGATATCCAAATGCTCCAGCACCATTTGTTGAAAAGACTGTCCTTCCTCCATTGAATTGCTTTTGCACGTTTGTCCAAAAAAATTTGGCTGTACTTGTATGGGGCTATTTCTGCAGTCTCTATTCTGATTCATTAATCCACGTGCCTCTCTCTGCAAATACTACAAAGTCTTGATTAGACTGCAGCTAAAAAATAAGTCTTTAAATTGAGTAGAGTGATTCCTCCCACTTTCTTCTTCTTTTTTCAAAATGTTTTATCTCTTCTACTCCCTTTGCATTTCCATATAAATTTTAGAACAATCTTGTCTATATCTACAAAAAGTCTTGCTGAGATTTTGATAGGAATTGCACCAACCTATATACCAATTTGGGCTTTCATGTGTTCACTGCTCTTATATAGAAATGCAATTAATTTCTATATGAAATTCACTTCCTAGTTCTAGGAAGGGTTTTTTTTTTTTTTTTTAATAGATTTCTTGGGATTTTCTATTTAGATTGTCATGTCATCTGCAGATAGGGAGAGTTTTATTTATTCCTTTCTGATCTACGTGACTTATTTTATTTTCTGTCCTTATTGCAAGAACTTTCAGTACTACAGTTGAAGGAGTGGTAAATGAAGACATCCTTGCCGTGTTTCTGATCACAAGGAGAAAGCTGTCAGTCTTTTACTATTAAATATGATGATACTGTAGGTATTTTGTAGATATTCTTTATCAGGTAAGGAAGTTCCTCTAGCGCTAGTTTTCTGAGAGTTTGTGTGTGTATATATATATACACATATATATATATGTATACACACACATATAGGCATTAAGTTTAGATTTTTTTTCTCAGAAAACAGATAAAATCATGTGATTTTTATTCTTTAGCCTTTTAACATGATGAGGTACGTCAAATGATTTTTGAACAATGAATGTGAACGATGAATGAATATTTCTTCCATCATTGGAATAAACTCCACTTCGTAATGGTGCTAAATTCTTTTCATATTCTATTTGCTAATATTTTACTAAGGATTTTCATATCCATCATCATGAGGGATATTAGTCTGTAATTTTCTTTTTTTGTACTGTCTTTGGTTTAGTACCAGGGTAATGCACACCTCTAAAATGCACTGGGAAGTGTTCATTCCTCTTCTATTTCCTGAAAGAGATTGTATAAAATTGGTGTTAATTATTCTTTAAACCTTTGGTAGAACTCTCCAGTGAAACCATTTGGGCCTAGAGACTTCTTTTGGAGAAAGTTTTAAATTACACATTCAATCTCCTTAATAATTATAGGACTATTCAAATTATTGATTTCATATGAGTGGGTTGTGGTAGTTTGTGTTTTTTCAGGAATTTGTCCATTTCCTCTAAGTTGTCAAATGTATATGTAAAGAGTTATTCTTAGTATTCATTGTTATCTTTTTTATCTCTGCAAAGTCTATAGTGATATGCCTTGCTTTATTACTGATATTGGTTATACGTGTCTCCTCTTTTCTCTCTTTCTCCTCTTTTTGTCAGTCTAGCTAGAGGTTTGTCAATTTTATTACCTTTATAAAGAACCAGCTTTTTGTTTCAATGATTTTCTCTAATATTTTTCTGTTTTCAATTCACTGATTTCTGCTATTATCTTTATTATTTCCTTCCTTCCATTTTTCTCTGGGTTTATTTTGCTTTTATATCTTGAGATGGAAGGTTATTATTGATTTGAGACTTTTCCTCTTTACTAACATAAACATTTAGTGCTACAAATTTCCCCCGGGGAAGGTTATTATTGATTTGAGACTTTTCCTCTTTACTAACATAAACATTTAGTGCTACAAATTTCCCCCGGCATTTCTTTGGCTACATCCCTCAAATGTCAATATGTTTCATTTTCACTTGTATGCAGTTGAATGCTTTTTGGGTTTGGTTTTGGTTTTTTCCTGGAGACTTTCTTTGACCCTCAGATTATTTAGAAGTATATCGTTCAGTTTCCAAATGTTGGAGATGTTCCTGTTATCTTTCTATTACTGATTTCTAGTTTGATTCCACTGTGGTTGGAGAACAGACTCTATATGATTTCAATTATTTTAAATTTGTTGAGGTTTGTTTTATGGCCCAAGATGTGGTCTATCTTGGCATATGTTCCAACAGCACTTGAAATGGATGTGTATTCTGCTGTTGTTAGGTGAAGTAGTCTATAAATATCAATTATATCCTATTGGTTGACGTGTTGAGTTCATCTATATCCTTGCTGGTTTTCCACTTAGTTGTTCCATCTATTGTTGAGAAAGAGGTGAAATCTCCAGTTATTAATTATAATTTGTGTATTACTTCTTTCCATTCTATTAGTTTTGGCCTCGCATATTGTGATGCTATTATTTGGTGTATGTAACTTTACCTTTGCTATGTTTTATTGTTGGATAGACCCTTTTTATCATTATATAATGTCCCACTATGTTCATGGCAATTTTCTTTGCTCCAAAGTGTACTTTATATGATATTAATATAGTATTCCTGCTTTCTTTTTAATGTTTGTATATGTTTTCAGCGATAATGTATATTTTTTTAATCCTCTTATTTTCATGTGTCTTTTTAATCCACTTTGCAAAATCTCTGTCTTTTAATTGGTGTGTTTAGACTACTTACATTTCATGTAATTACTGATGTATTAGGGATTAATTCTGCCATTTGTTTTTTGTTTTCTGATTGTTCCCTGTTTTATGTTTCTCTGTTTTATTTTTCTTAACATCCTGTAGGTTATTGGAACATTATTTTTTATAATTCCATTTTAATTGATCTAAACAGTTTTTGAGTATATGTCTTTGTATGGCTATTTAAATGGTTGCTTTTGATATTACATTATATATACATAATCACAGTCTACAGTGTACAAGTTTCATCTGTCAAGTGAAGTATAGAATCTGCACCTCTTTATATCCCCAAATCTTCTTTGTTTATAACTGTCTTAAATATTTCTCTGCATATATTGAGAACCACACCATTGTTAAAAGTTTTACTTCGATTGTCAAATATAACTTTGAAAACTCAAGAGGAGAAAGTCTATTGTATTTACTCATATTTGTACTCTTTCTGTTATTTTTTCCTCCTTCCCCATGTTACAAAATCCCTTCTTTTGTTTTCTTTCTGGTAGAGAACTTCCTTTGGCCAATCTTTTAGGGTAGATGTGCTGGTGAAAAATTTCTTTAGTCTCTCTTCATTTGAGAATGTCTTGATTTTCTGTTCATTCCTGAAGAATATTTTCACTGACTATAGAATTCGGGATTGGCATTTTTTGAGCACTTTAAAAATTCGTACCACTTCTTTCAGGCTCCATGGTTTCTGATGAAAAATATGTCATTTTAATTACTTTTCCCCTACAGTTAAGGTGTTGTTTCTCTCTCACTCACTACTTCCAAGATTTTTTTTTTCTTGTCTTTAGTTTTCTGAACTAGTTTTAGTTTGATTGGCGTGAATTTCTTTGGGTTAATCCTGTTGTGGTTCTCTCAGCTTCTTGAATGTGTAGGTTTATGTCTTTTGACAAATTGAGATATTTCCAGCTATTATTTCTTCAAATATCTTTTCAGCCCACTCACACCTCTCCTAGGACCACAATAATGCAAATGCTAGATCTTTTATTATAGTCCCACAGGTCCCTGGGGCTCTGTTCATTTTTTTTTTTTCCAGTTTGTTACTCTCTGCTGTTTAGATTGGTAATTTCTATTCTATTTAAATTCAGTGATTCTTTCTTCTATCCCTTCCACTCTGCTATTGAGTTTTTATTTCAGTTATTCTATTTTTAAGTTCTAAAATTTCCATTATGTTCTTCTTTGAAATTTCTATTTCTTTGCTGAGACTTTCTTATTTTTTATTTGTTTCAAGAAAGTTCACAATTGCTCACTAAAGCATTTTTATGACAGTTGCTTTAGTATTTTTATCAGATAATTCTAATATCTGTGTCACCTCAGCATTGGTATCTATTGATTGTCTCTTCTCATTCAAGTTTATATCCTTCTGGTTTTTGGCATTATACGTGATTTTCTAAAGAAATCTAGACTTTGGAGTATTATGTTATGAAACTCTAGATTTTATTTAAATCTTCTGTTCTAGCATGTCTCCTCTGACACCACTCTGGTGCGGTACGTGGGGTGACGCCTCACTACCTGATGGGGGTAGAAGTCCTCACTCAGCCTCTGTGGACACGAGGAAGTGCTTGGGTGGTGGAAGGGTTTCTCATTACTGCCAGGTGGGAGTGGGAGTTCAAGCTTATCATTAGTCCTTCAATGATCCCAACCTGGATGGAAAGGCAAGGGTGCCTCCTTATTGCTCCCC